TTAGACAAAGGGAGTAATGCGAATATTTTGTTCTATAAATGGTTTCCTGAAATTAGTTATTAAAAGATGCTCTTTCGAACCATAGTTTGAATAATTGTCAGAAACTATTTTTTAAAGATACACAGATGCCAAATGAAAGGTGATAAAAGAGGATAAGAAAGCAAGGGGTACACAAAAGCAATTACTTAAAGGTGCTGTAGGAGATCTTGGAAAAACAGTTCCAGCAAGCTATATTTTTGAACATACACAACCATGGCTCTCCCTTCATACCACTCTTTCGAAACCATGCCTTCAAAACACATGCGCATGCTGTCTGTTGAGGTGTTCAAAAGAGATCGAGAATGAAACAAGCCGAGTCGGACTGCTCGTGACAGAGCTAACTAAAACCTAATGCTATGTTCACACCTAAAGCAGCAGAGGCAGCAAAAGCAGCTAGTTTACATGCAAAGTCAAAGGTTGACGCGCATCACGGTGCAGCAAAACGTCCCGCAGAGTGTCTAGAGCAGCAGGAGCTGCGCGTCGCTGATCTGGGAGCTGGCAGGGGCCAGCATTGATGATGCAGAGTGCTATGATCACTCCTCTGAAACAGTTTATTAACACCTAAATTAAATAAAAAAATGCCAAAATCTGCCGGCAAAATATGTTTGCTTTTATTGTCTTGGTGCCTGCAGATTGGATTATGTACATAAAAAAGCGGCAAACCACAAGGAGGCGACCGGGCCATAGGCTGCTGTTGAATGGGATTCCTAGTGACAGCGCATCGCAGATGTACGAGGGTCTGAGCGTCTCCGACAAAAATAATATTTGAAGGCAGGATGGTAATCTGGATGAACTGACTACACTGATGATGTTTTCAGGTGGACTTTCTCACTCAAAAAACATATTAAAACAACTTTTTACCCACTGATCACAGCAGATATAGCTTCCATTGTTACAGGCAAAGAAAGGATGAGGTAGCTCCGCCCAACGCGCATCAGACCCACTTTTTCCACCGCACAGCTAGAGCAGCAGAGATGCTTCAGCGGCGCATCAGAACTGAACTTGTACAAGCATAAAAAAATGAAGCAGCATGCGCGTTTTTGCTGCTCTTGCTGCTTTAGGTGTGAACGTAGCATAAGAGTGGCTAGCTTTCAGCCATGGGTCCTGCACGAGCATTTGGGGTTCAATTCATTCATGTGTCACGGTACGCACTGGCGGAGGGACAAGCAGCATGATTGACGTTTCATGGAACCAATAGTGTACAACGGAGCGTGTTTTGTGATTGGTGGGCCTTACTCCTTGATTTCACAATGTATTTTAGTTTCACTTCCAGACCTTCTATTTTACTGCTTGCTACACAACTGTGAGGAGATCTTCAAGCCACATGGTAAAAAATGTGTCAGAAAAGATCTCCTACTACACATTAAATAGATAGAAAGTTAACTTAATATTTATTCCAGTTGTAATGAAAACTCATTTCCAAGCTCACCATCATATCAGTAATATATGTAATGTGCTAAAAGGTTTGTTTATGTATAAAATAATAATTCATTACACGTTTTAGCAATGCATAGGAGCAGAGATGCACCATTTACCAATTGTAAAATAGCTTATTTAATAAGAATAGGTTTTAGTTAAGTCTTTGTGTATTTCAATGGCAGATTATAAACTTTCATGTCATTACATTCAACAGAATATATAAATTTTTTTTGTTCAGAAGTCCATTCCTGCATAAGACCAATCCTCTGGTAAGTTTTATATGGGTGACAGAACAGGCACCACACAAACATTCTTGAGTGTACACACAATAAATATAAAAAACAAAAATATTTATCATCAGAACGTAGTAGGTTGATAGTTCATATTTAATTAAACTCTAACATCAGTATCAAACTCATCTAGCCACAACCTGACATTTTGATAAGTTCAAACATTTTTGTATCAACTTTTGTCATGTCATTGTAGTATTCTTGCTCTGTTTTTCCACCACTGTCCGTAATACTTTGTGACACACCCAAAAACATTGTGTTTTTGGGTGTGTCACAAAAGAAGTATAACAATTACACAAAACAAGGGCAACTAATTATGAGGCTAAATATAAAGCACACACAAAAAATTACTTTAAGAGAGGCACACAATGATTACCATAATAAGAAAATGAAAGACAATAAGGAAAATAACATGGAAAATATATAATTTATTAAAACTGCTGTGAGAGTTTACTAGGAGATTATGAATATATTTAATAACTACAACTTGAAGTTATAGTAATTAATAGGTCATACAAATCAAGGATAAACTTAAACTAATTATTATCAGTTGAATGAGAATAATTATAACTCTAATTTGCTTACTGAACAGGGTTTTAGTCTTTTACCTAAAAGGCTGGACTCCTGAATCTGGCTGTTAAAAATCCAGTTGTTATTCACCAATGTAGTAATTTGGGCTATGGCTATTAGCAACGTTATTAATCACCAACCAAATAAATGTGTCTCTGTTCATTTGGATAGTACTAAAAGAAGAGTGAATCAGGCCTGAGTGATAAATCATTCACTGTGTAAAATAAACACAAGAGACCACGCGTTAAAATACAATGGTACCTTTATTAGCTACAATCTCACAGTATTAAATCTAATAACTAAGCAAACAATCAACACTACTGAAAATAAGCAAAATTAAAGAAATAAAAGGGGATGAGGGGTTAAAGAGCCTTTTCAATGTCTGAGAGACGTTCGAAGTTTAAGGCTTAATGCATTTGAAAGTGTCCTTTATAATAGCAGCAGATAAAATGTGAATAAACCCTGACACAGATAATTTAACTGCAGTCAAAACAGTGAAGTTTCATTCAGTTTATGGTGAAAAATGAATAATGACTCAGGAGTGCATGAAACTATGATGAGGCTGAAATGGATTAGCTCAGCTGGTCCCAGGGGTTCCGGTCTGGACGGGTCCAACTGAAATATAGACAGGGTTCGCTCACGATGTAGTAGCTAGCATGAGGTAGCTGAGGCTACAATGCTAGCCAGTTCATTGTAGCAGTTAGCTTTAACAACACGTGACCCATTCAGTCTGCAGTGAGCATTAGCAATCAGTTAAAATCTTAAAACCATAAGCAGTTGAATCAGAAAGCTTATTTCAAATAAAACACAAACAGGACTATCTATTCTACCTAGTTGACCCAAGCAGAGCACTTATTAAGCATCACGTGGGAAGGAGGGGGGAAGGATGACATTACTGTTTTGGTTTGGTGGAGTGAAGGCCTTCGGCTCTAGGGTTGGTAGCCGTCCCTTGAAAAACGGATTTGTTCCGTATTTAGAAATAGAAGTACCTCTCCCGTCTTGAGAGGAAAAGGAATGCAATTTGTACCGTATTACTGTCAGAGTAAAAAAAATAGTCAGTAAGTTTGCATAGTGATGCTTCTAATAATAAAAAAAAAAAGGATGCAGGAAAATACGGAGGAATGGGAAAAAACCAATACCTGGGTGGAAAAAGTCTGCAATAATGAATATAAAGCATACTGCAAATATGCATCTAATTCAATGCAGAGTCAAATAGTTAAAAAAAAACAATTTCACACACAAAAGGGGCTAAAAAAAAATCACCACACCAGGAGGGGTAAAGGCAGTCGGATCAGCTGGCACACACATGAGGTGTCCCTTTTATTATTTTCAGGGAGTTGGCAACCCTATTCGGCTCGGTCCGGTGTTCTACAGGCCCCGTCTTCAGTCCAGTCCATTCAGCCAACAGCAGCTCAAAGAGATTTGGATCAATCCGATGCAATCTTACGAGGCGATTTTGCAAAAAGAGGTAATTTGATAACTCACAGTAGCACGGGACATCTCCCTTTTAGCTTATAGCCACAGCCTCCAGCAGCTCCTGGGTGCTGCTCCGTCACAGGCAGTCACGGTCTGGCGACTTCTAACAGCTTCTTCGGCAAACAGCGATTGTGGTCCCGTTGTTCGGTGGTTAGATATCCGGTTAGCAGAGCTGGATTAGCTCTTCTTATTCTGGGCTGCAACAGGATTCAGGAAACACTGCGTTCAACTCGGTTTGAAGCAGGGATTTCAAAAAGACTGTATTTAGGCTCCTTCTGACTCGACATAGAAAGTCACAAGATTATTTTGAAGACAAGGAAACTGTTGTAAATAACTTAGATAGAGTAACGAAATCAAATAATTTTTTTATCATTATTGGGAAAACATCACCAAATCTACAGATACATCCAACCGAAATGTCAGTAGTATGGAAAGTAGAATAATGCCGTCCATGTTTCTGGGTCTAGGTCTTGGTCCAGGAAAATAAGATCTCGCCAATTGCTGGAAGAAGTGAAAATAAAACAATTACGGGATACATTTTTTATTTTATTTTAGTGACGGACTTGAAATGACAATTGTGAAAAGGTTGTTGACTGTGTCATCAAACTGCTGACTTAATTCGTCCATAACAATTAGGCATTTTCCCTGAGAGATAATGGTCCTTAAACTTGTACCAGTTTTTAAAAACAGAGATATATATCACTTCAACAACTTATAGACCAGTGTCAGCTTTCTCAGTTTTCTAAAATTCTTGAAAAGGGGTTTGTTCAAAAATGTGAAATACTTTTAGAAAAACATTAACTAAAACTAAAATATATATAGTTTTAAAGCCAAAAGCCCTAGAATTAATTATACTGAAATTATGTCTGCAACTAAGAATAAGCAATACACAATTGGGGTCTTCACTGACTCAAGGAAAGCATACATTACTGTGAAAAACTGTCTGATATTGTCCATATTATACAACTATGGCACCAGGGGACCTTCTCCTCAATGGCTTAAACTTATCTCAATAGCTGACAGGAGTGTGTTCAAATCAATAGCCAAAAACAAAACTTAAAAAAACAACAACATGATATTTGGTGTTCACAAGGGTCCGTCTTAGGCTCCTTTCTTTTATTTTGTTTATTAATGATAATTGTGAAGCATCCCTTTGCAAATGATACTAAGATCAGAAATCATGGAAATCATAAGTTCAGAAATCATAAAAATCAATAAATTGTTTGATAAGAATACATAATGATAAATTAACTAGAAAGAAAAACAAAATATATGATTATTGTTATTGTAATAATAAAGATAAAAGTGTAATGGCAATAGAATCTGATACAGGAAGAGTTAAGTCAATTAAATTAGTAGGCGTTATTTCAGATGACAAATTTCTTGGAAATCTCCCATTATATATATTATATAATTTGTATAAAGTTGTCAATTTCTTAGATTTTTTTTCATATTATATGTCCTTCAATTCCCTAATACTTCCATATTTTGAATACTGCAAAGTCTGGGGTGTTGGGATCTGGAGATCTGCCACCTTTCTCCAGCAGAGGGCGCCCTGGGTCTCCTGAGCTGAAGCCACCTGCACACCTGAGGCTGATCATCCCATAAGGAGACCAGCTTTATAAGCAGCGGCTTGACTTCCCTTCAGTGCCAGAGTGTTAGACCAGTTATGGTTAGCAGAACCTGAGCCAAGCCTGCACATCTGAATCTCTCATTACTCAGAGGAGTAACCTAGAATCCTAACCAGTCTTTGTCCTCTCTGCTTCTTAGGAAGACCTGATTGAAGCCTGGAGCTCTGGAGGAGCTCATTTTTGGAAACCTACCTGCCTGCCTGCCCTGAGAAGCCAAACCTGAAGAATCTCAGTCTGCATCTGCCTGCTAGTTCTCAGGAGAGAACTTGGAGAAACACTCAAGGTCTGAACCTCACTAGTCTGAAGCCAAGCTCTGCCACTGCTAAGCTCTCTGCTGAACCCTCAGTCTCTGGACCCAACTGGTTCCCTCTCTCCACCGCTCAGCCTGAACCACATCAGGTACAACTCAATATCAGACTCTGTCAAGAGTACCCAGCTTCCTGGCTAACCAAACTGTCCCTCTCTGCAGAGAACCCTGTGAATCCAGTCCTGGACCTGTACCCGCATCAGTGCAAACTAATTATCTTGTGCTTTCTTTCAATAAACTGTTGAAATTTTTAACCAGTCTCCGTGGTGTTCTGCATTTGGGTTTAACTCCTAAGACCCAACATGACACTTTTCTCATAGTAGCTTCGCCTGGTCTGTTCCCGTTTGGCTGTGACTCCATCCTGGAGATAAATCTCAGCTG